GGACACAAAGTGCACCCACCCGCGCAGAACGACTAGCAGATGGGTCGGAAATCCTTCCCAATCGATTCCTCCCAATTGACTTGCTGTCACCAACTCCCTCCCCAGGGCGGGGTCAGCCAGTATCCCCTTGAGGGAAGGACACCAACCAGTGGGACCAGCTGGCTCCTGTGCCAACGTCGTGTGTGCGTGCGTGCGTGTTGTATGTCGTGTGTGTGAACGTGTGTCTGAGTGCAGGTGCATATGAACGTGAGAGTATATGAGCTCATGTGAGTGCATGTGTGCACATATGAACATGTGTGTGTATGAACATATGTATATGTGAATGTGTGTGTGAACATATGTGAACGCAGGTGCATATGAACGTGTGGGTGTATGAGCTCGTCTGAGTGCATGTGTATGCATATGAACATGTGAGAGAATGTGTGTGCGTGTGAATGTGTGTGTGACTGTGAGTGTGGATGAGTGGGTGTTGGTGTGAGTGTGTGGGGGCACTGAGGCAGCCCAGGAGTCTGTGGTGTGCATATGAACATGTGTGTGTGTGTGAATGTGAGTGTGTGTGTGTGAGTGCATGTGAACTTTGTGTGTGTGTGAGTGTGTGGGAGGTCACTGAGGCAGCCCAGGGGTCCGTGTGGAGCTTAGTGGCTTAACTTGAACTTGGTCTTCAGTCCTAGAAGCTTCTGGAACCGTCAGAAGACACAGATGGAGACCATCTGGATGGGCAGGCCCGGCCAGCCCAGGAAGCGTCGGCTCACCCGTCACTGGCCGTGTGGCAGGGCCCACTCTAGTCCCCTTACTCACGGAATCCACTGGGGCACATCCTTGCCCCGCCCTCACCAGCCCCCCCACTCTTTCCCCGTTCATCTCCCTGTTCCCCACTTCAGGCGGCTCCCAGGACACTGAGGGAGACCCACCCAGGACCCTGACAGGCTCTGCTCCCTGAGCCAGCCCCAGAGCCTGCAGGAGGCCCCCCAGGGGAGGGAACGGCAGGCCACTGAAGGGCCACCTTTGCTGTGGGCAGCCGGCAACCACCCCCACAGGGCTGGCTGGGGAGGCCTTGGGCCTGGGGTAGCCGGGGAGGGAGGTGGGCTCCCTGGTCCTGCTGGAGCCCAGGGCCTTGTATTAACACGGCCACTGTGAAGAGTGGGGCAACCAGTTCCCAGGGGCACGGGGGCACGGGTCAGCCCCCGGGACCAGGCTCCTTTCCCCAAAGCAGGTGGCTCGCCACTGCACACAGCCTTGTGGGCAGGAAGTTTTCCATAGAAAGCTTTTTCGTTGGCACGTTCCTATCTCCCAGACTGTGGGAGACGCTGGGAGCCTCTGTCCCCCACTGCCTCGCCCCCCCCGCCCCTCACCTCCCAGGAGACACCACTTACCTGCCTGCTGGGCTCCTGGGTGCCCACTCTCTCTGCCACGTCGCCTGAGCCCCACAGGGTGCCTTCACAGTCCCCCAAACACCCCACTTCACAGCCCTACCAGCTCCCCACTGTCTGCACCCCCCATCCTAATGACTCCCACTGTCACTGACCCCACTGGACAGTGGGGACACAGCCCAGACAGTGTTCCCAGGGACTCAGCCTAGGCTACCTCTTCACTGCCCACACCCCGCAACCCTGGCAGACCCCTGAAAACAAGACTTGTGTCTCCCCCTCAGTGAACAAATGGGGGGGGTCCCCCTACTGTGTGCCCAGCACAGGAACCCAAAGTAGGGCTGGACAAGTGTTCCAGGCAGAGGGAGCAGCATACAAAGGCTCAGAGACAAAAAGGCCTCCGCGTGGCTGTGGGGGTGGGGTGACGGACAGGTGGGCGGGGGAGGCGTGGACACAGACCCAGGCCCCAGCCCTGCAAAGAAGGGCTTCGCCCCAGGCCTCTGGGCCTTCTCAGCTCCAGGGAAGCAGATGGATAAGAGACGGGAAAGGAAAGGACACAGGCACTCTGCACAGAGGCTGGCGAGGGACAACCGCCTGGTCTTGGGCGGACATGGGAGGAGGGGCCAGAGGGGCTGCAGAGTGGGCACGGGGGCCACGAAGAAGTTGAGCACTAGTCTGTGTCTCAGCCGGGAGAACAGGCAGCTGCCAGGCTGATGGGCTGGAGGAGCTCATGGAAGGTTCCGGAACCTCCCGGCAGCTTTGGTCTGGGCGGATGCTGGGGATCACAGTGGATGGTCCCCAAAGACACCAGTGTTGAGCACCAGGCATCGTCGAGGGGAAGGGACAGGTGCCCAGGGTAAGCGTGCTGGGCAGGGGTTGGGCACAGACAGGGCCTGTGCCCTCTCGCACCAAGCCCTCTGAGGAGGCCTTCAGTGAGCGTCCTCCCCTGAGCGGGGCTTGTGGGGGGCCAAGGAGGACGCCTGCAGGGCCTGGCTGGCTCTGAGTGGCAGGCTCTGGGGAGCAGGCAGAGCAAACCTCCTTATGGGGGGGTTTGCGGGGGCGGCCATGACATGCTATATGCTGAGGTCTCAGACCCATGGGTTTTACTCTGGTGGCACACTGCCTAAGGCGTCAGACCGCTAACCAGAAGGCTGGTGGTTCAACCCACTGGCTACTCTGCAGAAGGAAGATAGAGCAATCTACTTCTGTAAAGATGTGCAGCTTGGGAAACCCAATGGGTGCCGCTAGGAGTTGCGATCGAGGCGACGGCAGTGAGTTTGGTTTTTTAGTTTCAGGTGTGGCATGGTCCCCCACAGGGACCTCGCACAGGAAATCTGGGGGGCAGGCAGAAGGTGTGTTTCCCAGTGGGCTGGTGACCTCACATGGAACGGTGAGTGTTGTCATCCCCACCATGAGGAAACTGAGGCTGGGCTGCCCTGGCCCCGAGCTGTGCGCACAGGCTGGGCTGGACGCTTCTTCTCCCAGCCCCCCGCCCTGTAGGCAGGAGCAACGGCAGGCCCCTCCCCCATCTGCCTGCTTTTCCTCCCCCCAGGACAGAGGGCAGGTGGTGGGGTAGGGGCAGGGGCGGGTCTCGGGGACATGGGTCTGGAGGATACGGCTCTGTGGTTCCTTGTGGACCACAGTCTCCCACACAGCCCCCACTCTGTGGTGAGGACCTGGGGACCCTGTTGGGGGCCTGGAGCTGGGACGGGGTGGAGCTGTCAGGCTGTGAGCAAGACCCCAACTCCCCCCGGGACACCCCTTCAGGGACACCACCCTCTCCCACCTCCTGGGGTCTCCAGGTCCCGCTCCCTCCCCCCAGTACCCCTTTATCTTTCAGTGGAGAAGTTAGCTTACGTGATGGCCTCAAGGCACTAAACACCCCTGAGATGCAGGCTGTGAAGCGGCCAGTTTCACCTTTTATACGAATTGAATTTTGTACTGCGATAAATGAGCTCCCTAAGAGTCAACCTAGAAGGTTACGTCTGTCCAGGTGTTCAAGGGTTCCATCTCCGGGCTTCCTCTTGGAGTCCCTGGGGGGGGGGCACCAAAAGACGGGCGATTCCAACCCACCTGCTGCTCCAAGAGAGAAAGATGAGGCAGTGGGCTTCTGTGAAGATTGACAGCCTTGGAGACCCTGTGGGGCAGTTCCACTCTGTCCTCTAGGGGCGCTGTGGGTCAGAATGGACTCCAGGCAGTGGGTGTGGTTTGGGCTTTGCTTCTGTGAAGACTGACAGCCTTGGAGACCCTGTGGGCAGTTCCACTCTGTCCTCTAGGGGCGCTGTGGGTCAGTGTTTTTATTTTGTTTTGGGCATTCCTGATTAAATCCAAGTTCAAAACTGGGGCTTTGATGGGGAACGTCCCCCTCATCTGTTAACTGGGCAGCCGAAGAGCCCAGTCTGTGTCTCCAACTCTTTACAGGGGGCCCGTGATGCTCCTGGCGGGGACCTTGCTGGGGCGTCTCTTGGCTTCTAGGCAGGAGGGCACTTTGCAGAGTCGGGACGGTGTGTCTTCCTCACCCCCCACTCCACCAGTTCTCGGCTGGTCTGTTCTGAAATCAACAAGCCTGGGGGGCACTGCTGCCTTGTCCTGCCTCCCCTGCCCACCGCTGGCAGTTCCCCTGGGGGTCTCCCTGAGTGCCTGTGGGCCTGAACAGTGGTGGGAGTGATCGGATACAAGGAACCAGGTGTCCCTCCCTGGAGCTGTCCATGCTGAGGGCCTGTTCACGCTGGCCGGTGCCATTGGGTGCGTTCAATGTGGACAGCTGTCCTCAGGGACACCCAGCTGCATCCCTCCTGGAGCTGGGTGGCCTGGCTGGGGCCTGGCGCTGGCCCCATCTGGACTTTGCCCGCAGGCCAGGCTTCCACCTCCCCAGCTCGGTGCTGGGCATTTTCTCGGAGTCCGGCCCCCAGAGCCGAGGGCGGCGCCTTCTGGCCTCTCTCCTGGACCCTTGCCTGCTGTGAGCCCCACACCCACCCTGCGTTTGGTGCCCAGTAGGGCCACCGTCGCTCACTGACGTTTGCAGAGTTGAGTGAGTGGCTCGAGGACACACAGCAAGGGCCAGGCTCAGGGTGCTCTCTGCCCCTCCAGCTGGGCTGGCCCCCGGCACCTGGGTGCAGCCAGTGAGGGGGAGAGGCCAGGACCCCAGGGGCCCGGTTCTCGCCACCGCATCCCCAAGGCCTCCCTCCCTTCCTGTTTGGGTACTGTTATCTCCCGGCGGGAGCCCTCTGCCACACAGCCCCCATTAACACTCGGAAGTGGCTCTCAGCCCTCCTGTTGGTTGCTGGGCACCCTGGGCCGGCCCGGCTATTCCAGCCATAAAAGAAGCCAGGCTGGAGGGGCAAAGGCCGGGCTGGGAGGGCGAGTGGGCCGGGGGGGGCTGGGGGCTGAGAGCCTACCCCCCACCAGCCCTTGGGCTCCCGTAGGGTCCCCATCCCGTGCTCCCTCCTGCCTGTAGCTGGCACTCGTTCCCCGTCCCCCGCGTCGTCTGCTGCCCCGGCTTCAGGTGTCACGGGACCAGGAGCCCCAGGGGCTCAGCGCCCTGAGTCCCTTATCCAGAATCTCATTCTTCACAAACCTGAAGGCCCTGGAGTCAGGGATCCCAGGCTGAGCTTGGGGTCCCACCCTGTTCTCAAACCCCAGGACCCAGCTCAGGGCCTGGGGGCCTCGAGTCAGGGGTCTCTCTGTCTGAGTATAGGGTCCCACTCCCTGGGGGCTTATCAGGAGGGAGGGAGGAGCTGTGGGGAGCCCTGGAGCCCTGACCACCCCCCATGGGCAGGGACTGAGGCTCCATGGCAACAGGGGTCCCCCCCGCAGTGCGGGGATGAGGGTGTGGAGAGTGCCCAGTGCAAGTGTGGGTGGAGGGTGGACCCCACCCCTTCCAGCGATCCGACAGGGGCTTCCTCGCTTCCTATCAGCTGACCATAGCCCCAGGAAGGCTCCGGCCCTGGAGGTGGGGCAAGGCCGGGTGCAGGGTCCACGCAGGGGGCAGGAAGGCGGCCGAGGGGCACTTTACACTGGTTCCCCAGTGGACAGGACCACAGGCCCCACGCCGCCTGTCTCAGGGCAGCTCCTGGTCCCCCTGTGACTCTAACGCCCCCATCGCTCCGCCCACCGGGCCTGCAGGCAGCTTCATCCGCTAGGACTCGATCACGATCACGGGGACCCAGGTGTCTATCAACCAGGCTCTGGGGACGACAGACACTGCCTCCACCACCAAGAGGGATGGGACATCAGAGTGGGCTCCAGAGAGGAGGCGGTGATGGATGGGGCTGAGGGGCAGGAGGAGGGGTCTGGAAGGCCCAGCTAGTCGGGCGGGTCATGTGGGGGCCTGGCAGGGAGACGGACAAACACAGAGTTGGGGAGCAGCCTCAGTAGGTGGGGGGACAGTGGAGGCTTCCCATGACCTGAGCCTGCCGCCTTCCGTAAACACCTCCCACCGGGAGGGACCCCCAGAACGCAGCCACCCACCCTGCAAAGGAGACCCCACTTTGCTCCACAGACTTGGCCTGTCCCCCTGGGGCCATGTGAACCCCGACTTTCGGACACACATCCAAGCACAGAGCGATGCTGAAGGGGTCCAGGGGCTCCTGCCCATCCTTCCGGAGATACCAACAGACGTGTCTCCCTCTGCCCTGCATGCACCCTCGACGTCCAGCTCCGGGGCTGACGCCAGGATAAGCCTCCTACCTCACGTGGCCAGGCCCAGTGCAAGTGTGGGTGGAGGGTGGACCCCACCCCTTCCTGCGATCCGACAGCGGCTTCCTCTTTTCCTATCAGCTGACCATAGTCCCAGGAAGGCCCCAGCCCTGTCCTTGTCACCCTTTCTCCATGACATTGGCTGCCTTCTGACCCCCCTGGACCTCACTCTGTTTCCCCACTGGCTGGGGCTCTGGGGGGCCACGTGTAGCCCTGGGCCCTGCTGCACCCTTGGGGCCCGCCCACCTAGTAGTCAGGGCCTTGCAGGCATCTCTGTTGGCGTGAAAGCATCTGCCCGGAGGCGGTGCCAGACTCAGCCCTTTATAAGCTCCAGCACAAGGGGGCGCCCGAAAGGCGGTGGGGTCGGCCTGGGGTGCCTTCCCGGCAGCGCCTACGGCTCGGCGTCCGGCTTGACCAGGTGGCCGCTGAAGGTCATGTACAGGTCTCCGGGCTCCCCGTAGATGGCACTGTCGCGGTCACGCTGGAACAGGCGCACCCAGACGGCGTCGCCGGCGGCCAGTGGCAGCAGCAGGCTCTGGGTCTGCATGATGCTGCGTTCACTGGGCTGAGCGTACAGCATGGCGGCCGCCTGCCGGTTGCGCATCACGTGCAGGTAGGTCTCCTTGTAGTTCCAGGCGTGCACCGTGAGGCTCAGGAAGTAGACGCCGGGCTCGGTGCACCGAAAGCGGCCGGCGACCAGGTCGAAGGAGCCGCCCAGGTTCACCAGCTCCGTGTCGAAGGACACGGCCTGTGCGCTGCCTCTGTTGTGCAGCCCCTCACGGCGGCCCACCGAGAAGGCCGAGTAGGTGCGCTGGCACGGGGTGCCCGGAGGTCCAGCCTGCCCCTTCTGGCCCTTGCGGCCCTGGAGGCCCCAGACGCCTGGTGGACCCTCCTTCCCGCTTGGCCCAGAGCAGCCTCTGGCCCCCAGCTCACCCTTGGCACCTGCAGGGAAGACCATGCTCAGGGCTGTGGTAGGCCTCCGGGAGTCCGGTGTCTCCAGGTACCACTGGGCCAAGGGCAGGAGCTCAAGGTCAGACTCACTGACCGTGGGACCCTGAAGGTGGCCCTGCCTCCCTGAGCCCCACTGTTCTTATCTGGGGGATGGGAGGGCTAATCCCCTCCCAGGGGCGGTGAGAAGTCACGCCCCAAGGTGCGTTTTCTCCCTGTCCCCCACCTGCACTCCCTTGCTGTCTGTGATGAGGCCTGTGGAGAGGACCAGACAGCAGAGAGTAGGGTATTGTCAGAGGAAAGATGACAGGGTTGGGAAGTTCCCACTCAAGTCTAACCTAAGTACTACATGCTGTCTTCTCTGGCCTTCTCCTAAGAAGGATGCTGCTACGGGAATCTCAGGCCCCCTGGCCCTTCCTGATCCTGGGGCAGGGTGACCAGGGGTTCGTGCTGGCCAGTTGGGGCGGACGGCAGCCTCCCCAGGCCACCTCCTATCATGCTAGGTAGGGGCAGCAGAGGTGGGGCACTGACTGCCTTTACACCAGCTCTTCCCTCCAGGGCAGGGGTGCTGCCAGAGCAAAGACCACTGCCTGGGCGTCCCCCGTGGGGGCCAAGCCCCAGGTACCAGATCCCCTTCCTAGCCTGGCCCATATCAGAGCCCCAGGTGTGGGGCCCTAGGGCTGCTTCCCCCTGCCCCCTCCTGCCCCCAACCCAGGCCCTGCTGTCCCTCCTGGGCAGACCAGGCCACAGGGACCTCCCCCGCACCCACCTTTGAGGATGGTGATGTCGATGGTGGGCCGGACATGAGGCAGCGGTCCCCATTCCTCAGCCCCATTTCTCAGCGCGTAGGGGTTGGGGGCCGTGACTGGGGGCCAGGCAGGGCGGCAGCAGTGGACACATGGCCTCCTGGGCAGCCTCAGACCCGGCCAGGCCCCCGAGGGCAGTGCCAGCACCAGAAGCATGAGAATGGGGGCTGCCATTGTGGGTGGAGCCTGAGAGGGGAGGGGGAAGA